TTTTATACATTTCCATCCAATCATGTTCTTATTGTGTAATAGAAAAAATGTAAATAAGTCAATGGGACTGTCAGAACAAAATTGTAAAAACATTTAATTAAATATGTATCTCATGTATCTTTAAAAAAAAAAGCTAAAATGCATGCCAAATAAAAGCTCGGGTCTCAGGAGGTTAAGTCTTCCTGGAAGAAAAAAGTTGATGCACTGTGACTCAAAGTTGGACCTAAATCACTGTGTCCTGAATCTGTGCCTAAAACTTCAAGTTATTATACACTAAAATATACATTTTTGTTGTAATTTTTGTGACAAATGACAAGTGACTTCCCTCTATGAAGTCAAATAACTTTGATTTACCATTTTGAGGAGAATGTCCCTCAAGTATTTCATCAAGTGGCGTAGGTCAGTAATAAAAATACAAACAAGCAAAACCTGAAGAGAACCCAGGTTTGCATGGTGGAGATTCTCCATGCAAAACTCTTAGGCTGCTAAGCTAAAGCTAACAACATAAAAAACACACTAACTGAGGAAACAAGTCAGTGTCCAGGCCTCTGTCTCAGACTTTCTGCTTAAATGGAGATGGATTGGCTCATTTGATAGATTACTGCAGTTAGAGCCCTTTAAAAAAAAGGAATAAATATTAAACTTTTTAAGAAAAATCCTGAATTCCTAAACTAGAAATTATGTGTGCATGAAACAGGCTGACTTTGTTAGGAAGCCTTTGTTTCAGGCTTTAGATCAACATCTTAAAAGATGGTTTTTCGGTTCATTCCATCTTTTTTCATTCCACTTTTCACAGATTAAACATTTTCGGACCTCCAGGTTTTGCTTGCGGAGCAGAAAAGAGTCCACGAAGCCTCTGCACATCTGTGGGATGAGGGTTTCTCTCAAACGACTGATGAACGCTGTGACCTGTTTCCTATTGGCAGCACTCAGCTGACAATAGCGCCTCCTGCTGGAGATCCACTTGCAGAACGGAAACAGGTTGTACACCTGTTAAATATTACACATTTATAAGTCACCAAACCATAGAATATGGGACAAATGCATTCTCCAATTTACAGCTGCAAAAACAAATCAGGTTAATGTTTTTTTAGACGGTTTAATGTAATGTTTACTCTCAAAGAAGGGAGAAACTGTACCTGCATCGAACTGGAGCCTAAAAGTTGAGCTGTCGTGTTCAGTCGATCCACTAAATTAGAAAATTCCGCGTCGTCATATTCAGATCTGCTGCCAAAGATCATGGAGCAGATAATATTGGAGATGGCGTAATTCATCAATCTCGTTGTATCAAAAGCTTCTCCTGTGACCAGAGGAGACAAAAGAGAGCAGATATTTCTATTTTACTCACATTTTTAACCCTTTAAAGCCTGACCCAAGAACAAAACAAAACAGAAAATGACTTTTTTTTGGTTTGAATTCCTTATTTGGCCTTTTAACAAAATATGTAAAAAGAAAAAACACAGAAATACATTTTTTATATTAATAATTTATTACTATGCGATAAGTCCAGATTATTTTTTGTGTAGTCTTCTGCCCCCTGTTATCAGGTGTATCTGATTGTGTACAATAGGATTTTGAGCAAAGTTTTTACCCTTAAATTATGCAAAAGGTGTCAGACGCAAAACATTTCAGAAACCATATGAATCAAATATGATACTTTTGTCATTACAGGGTTAAAACGTTTTTTGGAAACATTTTCAAAACACTGAATAACTAGCGACCTCACCTTTGTATTTTTTTATTTCGTCAGTCAGGTGCTGACATTCCTCGATGATTTTGTCCTCACACACCTTCTTTCCCATCCCAAAGTCTCTCAGGTTGGTCAAAGAGAAGCGCCGCATTTCTCTCCACAAGTCACCGTTGGACCACAAAAGCCCTGAAGTGAATCATTGCGCATACTCTAAATGTTAGATATGGATGTACAGAGATAGATAGATATATGTGGATGTAAATAGATTTCTCACCGCCTCCTTGGTTGACTTCATGCAGAATATGAAGCACATCTCTGTCTCCAAACACCTCATCGTGGTTGACCAGAGCATCCTTCACCGCCTCGTATCCGGCCAGGACCACCACCTTCTTGGGTCCGAAGTAGACGGTGAACACGGGTCCGTATTTCCTCGAGAACTGAAACCAGGTTGTCACAAGGGTGGATGTTACGAAAAGGGTTTATTTGAACCAAAACACACTCAAAAGGAGTGGATGGCAGACATGGTTCAAAAGCAAGGCTGTGAGGAAACTATGGACAAAGTAGCAAAGCAAGATCAACAAAACTGTGGCAAAGCATCAAAGGAAGAGTAAACAAAGCTATGGCAAAAGCAGTAAAGTTAACAAGACTGTGGGCAAAGTATCAAAGCAAGACTATGGCAAAAAGTACTAAAAGAAAAGATACAACAAAACTGTGGCAAGGTTGTGAGTAAAACATGGCTATGGCAAAAAATTAAATAAGACTATGGCATGGCTGTGACAAAAATCAAAACCTTACGAAAACGCACTGGCACAGGACATGGGAAACGAGGACAATTAAAAAATAAATAAAAATAAAAAAAATAAATAAATAAATAAATAAATAAATAAAAAAAAAAAATAAAAAAATAAACAAGGAATATTTAAACACATGAGGGAGGGGAACCCCAGGTGTGCACAATAGGTGTACACTGACCCTAACCCTAACCCTGGACTCCCTCACCTCCAACAGAGTGTTGTGGGGCCTCTTCAGGTCGAGCTGCAGCAGGTTTCCCAGCACGGGGAGGGGAGTCGGTCCTGGGGGCTCCCCGTTTTTCTGCCTGGACCTGAATACGGAGCAGGATAAAACACACAGGAGCAGCAGGGCGGCCACATATTCCATCAGGGAGACGGAGGAGAGGGACTGGAGCAGGGCCTCGGTTATCCCCATGCTGCTGGAACTACGTCCTATGGAGTCACATACGTCTGGGGAAACTATAAAAAAGGCCAGGGATGCACTGGAGGGGTGGAGATGACTGGTGGGAGGAGCAATCAATAACTACAGTAGATCATTTCTCTTTCTGCTGCCCCTTTGGTCCCTCTGGTTTTTTCTCCACTTGGCTGCACTCCAATGTTCTGTCATTCTTTAAGTTTATATTATATATATATATCTATATATATTTATTATATATAAATAATATATTATATATTACATATATATTATATAAATATTATATATGTAATAATAATATATATAATATATATTATTATAATATAATATACTATATAAATAATATAAATAATAAATATATAAATAATAATAAATATATAAATAATATAATAAATAGAAATTTATATTTATTTTATATCAATAAATTAAAAAGAAAATAAATAAAAAAAATATTAAAATATATATATAAAATAATTAGCATTTAATTTGTATTTGTAACATACCATACAAATCCTGTATTTTCATTTGACTTCTAAGATGCCTGCTGATCCAAATGACTGATTGGCATCTGTCCAGATGTTCAGTAAAAGATAAAAGTGAGTAAGCTCCTCCTGGACCTGGTCTGTGCCATGAAATGTCACAAAGACACTGGAATCTTTCCATTGTTGGTCAAGAAGATTATTGGTGACCGAATTGGCTTTTGTACTCCATAAACTGTAATCCATAAGCTCAGCCTGAGAGCTGTTATAGTTTTAATTCCAACCATGGAAAGGTTAAACAGACACCCTGATGCAAAGATATGAATTAATTTTTTACAAATATATTCAATGCTTGTCTTTTTATTTTTCTTTATTTGTACAGGTTTGATGGAAATTCATTACAGAGCTCATCAGATTCGGTTTATTCTAATGAAAAGACGTCACAGGGTCCTGATGAGGAGCAAAGAGGATGCATGTGCTATGTGCTGGACCCTTTCAGGAACAGGAGATCCACGTTAGCACGTCTTCTCACAGACACCGTTTTGTCACTTCCTGGTTCAACGTAAAAAAATATAACATTGAACCAGAAAGAAGGATGAACCAGTGTTCACTAAAAACCTATTTTAAATTGTAATTAGACTTTTACAATCATGACAGGTTAAACAGACACCCTGATGCGAAGATTTGACTTATTTTTTTTACAAATATATTCAATGCTTGTCTTTTTATTTGTGATGATACAGACAAGTTTGCTATAGATTCATTACAGATTTCATCAGATGCAATTTTTTTCAAATCAAAAGTGCGATTCTCTCCTCAGTTGAGGGAAACAGCACACAGTTTGTGGGGTACAGGGCTCAGGGTGATGCCCCCACACGGGGTCAGGTCCAGCTCCTCCTCC